TGCATAAATATTTTACTCTAAAAAAAATTATCTCAAATTTTTTTTTTTTATTACAATATTAAATCATAGTAGCTGCTAATTACGTTAGTTAATCACATCATTTAATCGTTGGTTAACCCTTCAATTACTAACAGAACAATTTTGTCACAATTCTGATCAACCATTTTATTTAGTAAATTAGTCATTTGTTTAGAATATAAGACGTATGTTCATTTTAATATTTCTTTATAAATTATTCAGTTCCTTCTAAAAACAAATTTTCCATTTAAACGAAGCAAGATTTACCTGTCATCAATCAATCAATTAGCTAATGAGTCAGTCTGTCAATCACGCGGTTAAAATAATAAGCAAAATATTGAATAAATCCATTTATTTTATTACATTAAAAATTCCAATGAATTCTTAAAATACTTACACAATGAAATGCCTCTCAAAAAGATTCAATCAGTCAATCAGCACACAAATTCACATCCAAATATAGCTTGCTCTTTGGTGAACTGTTATTTGAAATCGGCAAAGGTTTAATGCCAAATGGTTTGTAAGCTGTAATCCGAGCCCTTTAAGGCGTGGCATTTAAGTCGTTGGTTGCTGTGGCAGGAAGCTGCCAAATGAGACAAAAGGCAACCGCATGATAAACGGGCGAGCATCAAACACAATGAATGAGCGAAAATTGAAAGACTGACTGACTGACTGACCGAGTGACTGACTGACTGAGTGAGTGAGTGACTGACTGAATGACGGCTGTCTGTGCCATTGTCGTGACTATAGCCGCCGGTCAATTTCCGCCACTCGCTGTGTATTTAATATGTATGAGTATTTGTAAGCCCTGGCAATATAGTTGAGGCTGGGCAGAAGCGAGACAAACAAAACTTCAAATGTCAGTTTGGCGGAAACTTGAGAGTCGTTCCGCTCCTTGTGGCCGGATTAAGTTGTGCAAAATATTCAAATGCCACATAAATCGAGTTTTTCCTTTCTTCATCTTCTTTTCCATTTGCCCGTGACAGAACTGCTGCGTGCGCTGAACATGGAGTTGGAATCGGAACGCGAACGGGAACGTGAAACGGAGCGGCAGCCTGACTACGGCACTGCCGTGGAGCTGGCCAGTAAATTTGACATGCTTAAGAAGATAGAGCAGGATTTACGCGCTGAGCAGGAACTAGTCGACAAATCCGCTTTGCTTATGAAAATGTTAGAGGTGAGTGAGGGGGGCAGGCGGTGTGGTTGCGTGGGTCCTGACATGTGCTGGTATTTACTTCGATAACAAATGTGTTACGCTCACTTAGGACCCGACATTGGATACGCTGCCATTGGTCTATGTGGAGGAGGAGGAGCCGACAGCAATTGCTGCCGAGGACTACCCGGAGCTGGATAATGGCATACAGAACCTGATTGTCGGCCAGAATAAGCCAAAACGTTCCCGTTATTATCGTCGCTATCCCTGGAAGCGACACAATCGCAATCGCGGGTAAGCTTTTGTCAGCCCTGGTAGCACACAAGCAGCACACACACACTCTCAAACTCCTCTTTTTATTAAAAAGAATACCCAGCAAACGCCCTAGCACCATTTTTGATTTGTAGTTAAAAAAATTATTAAGCTTACAAAAATATTTGGATTTTGTTACTGAAAAAAATTTTCGAATTTCAACCGAATTACCAAATATATTAAAGCAAAAAATATTAAATTAATTCAAAGCAGTTTCAAGAAAAGAAATATTTCAAATTTAGGAAATTTTTAAGCGAAAGAAAAAATATATTATTAAACAAAGAAATTTCTTAATATAAACTCAATATTTATAAAATATGTTTCGAGAATTTCAGCTTCGAAATTAAATAATTAAAATAAAGTTTTTAAAGGAAAAAACTTTACAAGAGAAAGAAAGCAATAACTTCAAAAATATATACATTTTTTAAGTAAACAAATTTTTGGAATAGTCAATGAATAATTTTTACGAAAATTAATTTCTTCATACTTGTTCTAAATCATTCTAAGTTCCTGAGATTATTTTTTGCTAAGACTAAGAATTTAAAAAAAAAAATTATTTCGGAAAAAAACTCTTTAAGAGAATTTTCGAAAAAAAACTGGACATCTTCAAATCGAAAAAATTTCAGCAACAAATGCCAAACCTTATTAGATATATGTTCATATACACATATTAAATTTAGAAAACTGTACTAAACTGCATTTCCAAGAGTCTCTCTAGGCCGTACACACAATGAACCCTCCGATTACCGAAAACCACAGATATATATATA